TATTAAGAATGTATGTGCTTATAAAACTCAGTGAATTTCAAAATAAGTTATTTCTGAAATTCGCTTGAAAATGAATCAGTACTAGGGACTTTAATTTAATTATATAATTTAATTGAAGTTTATAGTTTCTGTTTTTGAAACATGGTAATTCCTGTGTAGCAATGAAACGGTATTTTTTAATTAGTCAATTTATAATACTTATGCTCTGCAGAATTGTATTGAGTTCTGTTTTACAAAAATAAAAATAATGAATAGGAACACCGGATTATAAATCTTACTGTTCATTATCTTTATTTTTATATATATATATATATATATATATATATATATATATATATATATATATATATATATATATTGAACAATAAAATATATTAAAAAATAAAATCTTCAGACACACTGGGTTGTAGGCTAATATTGTTTCGTTTTTTTTATTATTATTTCATTTAGATTGCTCGACTAGTTTCGGTCAGCATGCCCATCATCAGGAGGAAAACATTCTGCTTGCTAGTAGCAGAGAACTACAGAAATGAATGTGTTGATGGAGAAAATGACCTTTTGTCTGTCGTTTTCATTTGTTTTTTAACATAATTTTTTAACATTACTTGAGTTGATCAAACAGTTTCTTTTAAGTTGTTCTTTGAGATAAGAGCTGGATGGATCCATGCTACTCTGAATTCCCCTATATATATATATATATATATATATATATATATATATATATATATATATATATAGAATCTAGATTTAAGGTATGTTATATTTATCGGTTAAAGTGAACAACATCAGGTATATAGCGTATGTAATCATAAAAGTGGACATTGTAAATATATGTGGTCATTGACGTCGACGCCCAGATGCGACGCTGTTTCACACTAAACGTACACGTCAGGTCAAAGTTTGACTTGAATGCCCACTTTATATATATATATATATATATATATATATATATATATATATATATATATATAATGAAATGGATTAAGTCTGACAATTATTTAATATATTTGTTGTTTATACATCATTTTTATAGCTACCAGTCATTTAAGTAAATACTATGTGTTTAATTAAATATATTAAATTACATTTACCGGCCTGAATCTTCGAGAAATTTTGTAGAAAATATGCGTTCTATACGGAATCCGTCATTTGATCTGAGGTGCGATGCTATTTAGCTACAGAGAAGCGCCTGTTTAGTAAAGTTTAAATTACTCTTTTAAACACACAAACTTCGACGATTTTTCTTGATCGATCATATCTGCTCCCGAAACATATGTTAACACAAAGAATGACAAACATATAATGAAATGGATAAAGTTTGACAATTATTTAATGACCGAACAAATATTTTCTACGAATTTTCTCAAACATTCAGGCCTGTAATTAATACTGTTTAATTAGAAATAGAGCATTTACTTAAATAAATTGTATCTATAAAAATAACGTATGAACAGAATATATATATATATATATATATATATATATATATATATATATATATATATATATATATATATATATGGATTGGTTGCATAGTAATGTTGGCGGTGAGTGAGATCGATTTTCTCCCTTATCGTTTAACTTCTTTCTTTTTCCTTCTGGTGTCTTCGAAAATTTGTTCCGATAGGGATTGAACATCGCTAGCTGATTCCGTATTGTGCACGTGTTTCAAACGATTTAAGCTCAAGTCCACTGGCTTCCAGTGTTGTTTTGAATTGGTCCTTGTATCTTCGTTGAGGGAAGCCCCGTGGTCTTTTAGCTGAAGCGAACTCACTGAATAAGATCTGACTTGGAAACCTTGACTTTTCCATTCTTGCTATATATCCTGATCATCGAAGACGGCTATTACAGATTAACGATTAGATGTTTTGACTGGTGTGTAGGTAACATCGTAATTCTATATGATTTGACATCATTATTCTATTTGATTGAACGAATATTTTTCTGCAGAAAACGTTCAAATTTGTGGATATCGCGACTCTATAGAGAGGTGGTCTCGCAACAATATAACAGCAGCATTATAGACCGTAATTTTTTGTTTCTAACTTTAGATCGTTGTTGTTGAAGACCCGTTTGATTAGCATTCCAAATGCTTCTCTTAGGTGAACTTGTTTGATATATTTGATGCCTCTTATCTTTTAATGTATATATTACATCAGTATTAACAAAAGCGTCAAAGTTCAGTGTAGAATTATTAAAGTATATGGAAGTGTCTGTTCGAGGCTTCCATTGTCATCTGATAAGCCTGAAGTTTGATTAGAGGAACAGTAATATGGCTGGCAATGTTAACGGAAACAAAGATATTAAGCACGGTGCCAGAGATTAGATTGGCTTTACATTGATCCTCATCAAAACCCATCGCTTGATGGAAGGTAGAATTTTATAAGAGGATTAATATACAGTGATATTCTCATCATAAATCTTATAATATTCTCTCATTGAAAGGTGTTTTCTAAAATTATAGGAAGACTTGAATAATGAGAAAGAAAAATAATAAATCAATGTTTTGTGAATTTCTGGGATGAGGAGTTTATTACAGCAAATTTTCCTACGGGAGAATTGTCTAGTGCGTCAAAGCGTTGCTTTGTGAATTTGGCGATATATTGGTTGTGAATTCAATCCTTGGATCGGGCAGTGTGTAATTCCACTCAGTGGAAGTGGGTGAGTAATGAACGAATATTTCTAAATAAAAATAGGAACTAGAAAACATCGTTCGGGTGAGAACAGTCTACCCCAGGAATTTAAATGAAGTGTTCATTTCAGAATTCTCTGTAGATTATCCAGATCGATATACAGCCATAACAACAATAAAGATTAGGAGTGTAGTTCGAATATAAATAATAAATCAATATATGATAATGATGTTTTCTCATCTCAAAATCTAGTAAGAAATTAGTTGACGAAAGGATATCATGATAAGAATATCAAAAGATATAAGGTAACTTTTTTCATACTAATGATCCACTGAATGTACGGGGTTAATTTATCGAGTTGTATGAGCGTAAGAAAAGGCAAGCCGTTAAATTCTTTGGGCAAAAATAACGGTAATCTTGAAGAGGTCAAAATTGTAGTGATTGAGAGAACTGCCGGGATTCTGTTCCACGAATCATCATTACTTAGATATGAGTTTGTTACCATGAGTTTCACGATTTTATGGTCATCAGACAGAAGCGTGAGACCCAGTGTCACAAACCCATATCCATACAACTGAATACATATATATATATATATATATATATATATATATATATATATATATATATGTGTGTGTGTGTGTGAAAAATGTATATATATATATAGATGCGAAAAAAACATATTTTAAATCAATTAATTTATAACATATATATATATATATATATATATATATATATATATGCGCGGTACTTATTAGAAAGCGCTCAATATCAGAGATAGAGCTAACATATTTGGTTGGATAGATGTGAGATTGTGACCCTGACGATCGCTAAAGTGTGAAACCCAGGGTCACAAACTCACATCTATCCAACGAAATATATATATATATATATATATATATATATATATATATATATATATATATTAAAGAAAACAAGACAAATTTAAGCTTCCATGAGGTTGTAATTTATTTCGCTATGGATCTTCTTGTTCCCTGGATCATCAGACATCACTTCCAAGTATGTAAAAATTGAATTTAAACTTACACTTTGGGAGGGTAGTATTCAGCCGATGTAAATTGATATAGAGAGGGGTGAGAGATATTGTAACAGATATGGTCGAAATTAGAGAGGGAAGGGAGAGATAGTAATGCTTTTCAATCTATTTTTTGTCACAATACTTAATAGAGAGTAAGTGGGCAAGGATCAGACATTGACCTATTCATTACTCAGCATATATATATATATATATATATATATATATGTGTGTGTGTGTGTGTGTGTGTGTGTGTGTGTATCTACAATCTTCGGCAAAGTCGTCTTTGAAGTTTTAATCAACTTCGATGTAGTTAAGCACCTGGCATCCCATGATCTGCTCTCTGACAAGCAATATGGTGTCCTCTTTGCCCGATCTACAGCTGATGTGCTCACGGCCATAACTGAATTTGTTTACCAAGCGATTCACAATAACGCAGAAGCTCGTGCCGTGGTCTCTAGATATCTATAAAGCGTTTGATAGAGTTTGGCATGCCGGTCTACTTCGTAAGCTTCGGGGATACGGTATTACAGGACGATTATTTGACTTAATACCAGCTGTTCGAGTGGAACTTACTTCTTACTATTTAAATAAGTAAATAAGGCAACAGGGATGATTTTCTACATGGCATGGCGGCTCCCATTCTAAAGGCTAGAGGTGATGGGAGTATGAATGTAGCACGTCAGAACATATGCCATACAAATAGTGATAGAACACTGATAGGATCGCGACGTTTCAACTGTAATATGGAAAATAATTCATCAACTACAACGCCACCTAGACGCTTTTGAACTCAATCAAGACAGTGAAGACTGAAGAGTTCCAGCCATGATACGTAAGCAATAGCCGATTTTTGATCTGACGGGCTCTTATCAAGATTTTAACTTTTATTAATTATGTTATAGCAAATATAAATTCCACAGCAGAAAACCTTCTGACTGGTGTCGCCACATCGTAGAAAATGCAAATAAAATGAAGTGTCTATCTTTAGACAAAATTAGTTCCCGAGCTAACCCGAGGACCTCTGCTAGAATTTAATAAATCCGGCCTTTGATATCACGGGCCACGGTAACAGTGAGTGCAGTCGTAGTCAAATAAAAGAGTTTTTTTTTTCCTTTTCATTTCATAGCGAAATTGTAGATTATTCCCAACATTACTTTCAAGAATAAATACAGTCTGTAAATCACATGATTTTCCCGAAGGGTGGAAATTCTGTTTTTATGTTTGTGTGCACCATCTCCTTACAGGATATGTGCGATCGTTGCTATTAATTAGGATGTTTTGTTCATATGGGCAAGTAGACGCCTAAAACTGAAAGCTGAATCACGACTATGCGTGAGCAAAGCTGCAGATGCCGTTCGTTATACACTTCGTAATCTTATCGGCAGGAAATAACAGATCTCTCCTTCGGCTGCATTCGTTTCCATGAATTAAACACAGTTTCCACAATTTATTAAAGACACAGCATCGTCTCTGCTGGGTACGTCGTATACAAGATCCACCATGGCAGAATTAATGGCGCGGATTGGTTAATGCTACATCTGTCTACTAGACCCACGCCGTCGTTGTTGATGGTTGTTATCGCAGAGATCTCTTTAAAATGATTGAGATAGTAGTGGTCACTGGTAGCAGCTAGGAGCTATACATATTTCCTCTCTAGTATACACAATTTACAGTGGATGCCACCTGCAATTCTTCTCAGGAAGTGTGTTGTTACAGCTTTCATATCTTGGCGGCCATTTGTCTATATGATCTAGTATTTCCTGACATTGCTAGTGAAAAGATTATCCGATTTTTTTTGCATGATTTGCTGGTGTCTTCGCTTCCGTCTAAGCGCTGCCGCATATAAGATTCATACTTCATTTTGTTGACACTCTTTCGACGATCTCTAAAGGTTTATACTTGTATAATAGTCTATAGTCTTATAGTCATTTAAATTCGGCGAATGTCTACCTTTCACGTCCCGCTCAGATCTATCCCAGTCTGTTCATATCTATCTATCTATCTATCTATCTATCTATCTATCTATCTATCTATCTATCTATCCCATTCTGTTCATATCTATCTATCTATCTATCTATCTATCTATCTATCTATCTATCTATCCAAAACTGTTCATATCTATCTATCTATCTATCTATCTATCTATCTATCTATCTATCTATCCTAGTCTGTTCGTGTCTATCTATCCCAATCTGTTCATATCTATCTATCTATCTATCTATCTATCTATCTATCTATCTATCTATCTATCCCAGTCTGTTCATTATCTATCTATCTATCTATCTATCTATCTATCTATCTATCTATCTATCCCAGTCTGATCATATATATCTATCTATCCAAGTCAGTTCATATCTATCTATCTATCTATCTATCTATCTATCTATCTATCTATCTATCTCAATGCGTACATGATCATAATCTATGAATATCTATCTATTTTTTCGTACGATCACCGAAATTAAGCAACCACGATTCTGGTCAGTATCTAGATGGGTGATCGCTTGAGAATGGGTGGATTGTGTAATAGATAACAGCTTAGAATTTGGAAATCAGAGCTCTGAGTTCCAATTCTAGTTGGATTCGTTATATTCATTGAATCGCAACTTCACTAGGGACGGATTTTCTCACCTAGGCATCAGTTATCTAGTAAAACTGGTATTACTAAAAAATTATTATCTAACAAACATCCTTACAATCTTAAAATATTTTCTCTCTGAAAACAACATGCAAAGTGTTGATAACCCATAAAAAACGAATCTATCTATCTATCTATCAGGCAAAATAAAATTTCAAAACAGTGAATATGGGTTACATTTCATATCATGATTAGAACATGTAATAAGATGACACAAAATGATCACATATACAGTACAATACGAACAAACATATGTCAAAATAAGTAAATTGTATAGAAAGATCACACAACGCCCAAATTATTTCACTGTATATATTCCTTGATTTTTAACTCGGAACTGTGAACAAAATACAGCAAGATTTTATAAGCAACCAAAGTGAACAATTAGGACTAACCGAACAGGTTCCAACATGAACTAAATTCAAACCAGTGACGTTTCGAGAATAGCACAGGCAACATATGGGTAGGAATTATCACAATCTAAATTAATTTATGGCAAAAAATTTTGATTGATTTCTTGTAGATCTTATCAATGTACAATGCTTTGATCTTGGTGAAGATCTTAAATATGATCTCGACCATGAATTGATCTATCATCTCTCTTATCTTCTCTTCTCTATCTATCTATCTATCTATCTATCTATCTATCTATCTATCTATCTATTATTTTATACTTTGATATCTGTCCCTCTATATTTTTACATATGCCAAAAGAACGCTATGTCCAACAGCTCTCTCTCTCTTTGTCTCTCTCTCTCCCCGTATATATATATATATATATATATATATATATATATATATATATATATATATATATATATTCAGTTTTATGGATATGAGTTTGTCACATTGGGTTTCACGCTGTTGCGATAATCAGAAAAAAGCGTGAAATTCAGAGTCACAAACTTGTATCCATACAGTTGAATATATATATATATATATATATATATATATATATATATATATATATATATATATATATATATATATATATATATACTATTCGGCAATGTCGTCTTTGAAGCTGTAGTCAATGACGAAGTGGTTAAGCACCTTAAATCCCATGATATGCTCTCTGACAAGCGAATTTTTTTCGGCTTTGCCCGATCTACAGCTGATGTTCTCACGGCCATAACTGAAGTTGTTTACCAAGCACTTCACAATAACGGAGAAACTCGTGGATTGGCTCTAGATGTCTCTAAAACGTTTGATAAGGTTTGGCATGCCGACATCCTTCGTAAGCTCAAGCGATACGGAATATCAGGACGATTATTTGACAATACAATCTTTCCCGTCAAACCGTGTAATGATGGTCGCCCTTCACGGATTCTCTAACTGTACCTTTCTCACGAAGGCATGTGTTCCTCAAAGCTCTATCCTGGGTTCTGTACTGTTCCTTATCTTCATTAACGATTTTCCCGATGTCATCAATACCCAAGTTGGCATCTATGTAGATGACACTAATATTTACTCCTTGTCTAAATAGCAAATCTGGTATCGCTGACAAAACTAACATCAAAAATAAAACTGCTCTCTATTAACCGCCACAGAAAACACTCCCTGCCTTCTATTAGAAGGTTTATGCTCAACTTTGCGACTGCTTGGTCTCACACTGCTATATCTACCGCAAGGAAAGTTCGTTCTCTGTATTGCGCCAGAATGTTTTTCTCGCCTGAGTACATCCTTCAAATCTATAAATCAACCATTCACCCTTGCATGGGATACTGCTGTCATATATAGTTTGAAGCCCCTGCTGTTCGCCTTACGGTCCTCGGCGAAATCCAGAGACGGATATGCATTGTGGTTGAGCCTGATCTGGTATCTCGTTTACAGTCGTTCTCTAAGAGACGTGCCGTTGCATCCCTCTGTCTTTCCTGCAACTACTTTCAGGGTAACTGCTCCGACGAGCTACTTTCGCTAGTTCCCAAACTGCATGAATTTAAACGTGGTACTAGTTTGGTATCTGTTCCGTTGTCGAAACGGCTAAATGTAGCCGTCTCTTCTACTCTAATAGCTTCATGTCTCGCATTTCACCATACTTGCTTCACTGAGAGCTCTAACCTCCACCTACTCAAATGCAATGTCAAACGAAATTTCCAGATGCCTTGATTTATTCCCCGCCCTTCTCTTCATCGATTTCTCTATCACGCCTCTTTTCTCTTGCTCCCGCTCTCTGTAACCCCTTGCGTTCTAGTGGCACTCCCGCCTTGCCTGGGATTAAAAACTTTATATATATATATATATATATATATATATATATATATATATATATATATATAAGATAGGATAGCTAAAATATTCCCTGGTTAAGTAATCCAAGTAGATCCTCTTAATATAATATAATAAAACTGATCCACAAAAGAGAGATCAATTTCTTCGACCATATCTGGCCACCTAACTCCACATATTGCAACACCCTTGATAATTATTTGTGGGGTACAGGTGAACAACACACCAACAAAACTGCTTCTAGCACTAAAGAAGAACTGAATGCAAGGTTTTTGGCAGCATTCCCTATCTGGCGGCATTTAAGCTAGTTCCTGCGGAGGGCACTTGACTGAGCCTTTATCAAGATAGGCAGTGGGGAGTAGATGCGAAAGGCATCAATAAACTACGGAACTGAAAATTGATCGCTGCATTTAAGTATTGCATTAGTGTTTCATCTTACCTTTTAAAAGTTCAACGATAATTCTTCTGTCGCCACTTAAATTAAAGAAATTTTGATGTACGTAGGTCCTTGCTGGCCGTACAAACAATCATTTTAATTACATGGGCGACTTTTATGGATTTCGCAATTAATTTCGAATATTCCGAAATTTATTTCCAAGTTATAAAAATTGTTATCGTACAAAAAAAATCGTCGTAAAAAATCACATAAAAAAATCGCCGAAAACAATCGTATTAATGCAAACTTGGGAATACACATTTTTAGGATTGTGGATCCGGATCCGACCCGGAATGTTTTTACTATGCTCACGGAGTCAGCCCGATTCCAAAATGGTATGATATGTTGGGCTGTGGCCTGTAGAAGTGGAGTTGAAAAGATGGACAATTATATTTTTAAACAGTGTAATTTGAGACCAGTAATTTTTTCATTTGAAAGTTAGAGAGTTATTTCCCTTTAATTGTTTTCAATGGCAGAAACCAATATGGCGCAATCACAAAACAATCGCAGTAATGAAAACTTGGGCCACTATCACGTCTGGATTCACTTTTTTCAATGTTGGTGTCATGGGTCCTTACCTATAACTACAAAATGAACTCTTCCTAACACTATGTGTACTACGCCTCTCAAGAGAGAGGGACGAATCGAGTCGAGCCGATAGTAGTTCACTCCAAACCAGACTGACAGTCATACTAACACCTGCCACATCTTGTATTATTATTTCGTGTAATATACCTTCGTTATTTCTACTCTTGTGTTCGTGTTGTTATTCCTTGGTCCTAACATGGACCATACAGTTGGGTTCAGTAAATTCCAATATACGCAAAAAGAAAGCATTTATTAGGAATAAGCTTTTATGTTTAACTCTACTATACTCCATAGGGAATTCAGTTCCCTGTCTGTTGTTAATACTTCTCTCTACAAAAACCGTTTATATGTCATCGATTCCTGGCCCAAATTTGGAACTCATTCTTTTCATCATACAACATAAGGACTACAAGCAGGCTCATAGGATTATGAGTATACGTGGCTTCCTGTGACGTCACCCCAGCCTCTCTGCCCCCGTGCTATCCTGTGACGACCAATGTGACTTAGTATTGGTCGCGGCGCCAAATGTAAAGTTCTAACCATTGGCTGATTCGGATAGGAATCTGGTTAGATTCGGTATCAGCTTTGTCGTTCCCAGCTCGCCTCCAACGCCTGGTTACCGAAGTAACTGCTTTGACTTCTAGTCTAACCTACCCACGTTGTGATTTGATCTTAGGTAGACGAAATCAATCAGTCACCGAGCCGTAATGCAAGCCTAGTTCGAGCAAAGGTAACACCGCACAAGTATATATAAAAGAAAATAAAGTAACAACTCGAAAAGTTCAATTGTGTTAAAAAAAGAATAACAATATTTTTATATCTGGTTTCTGAATACAGGACTGCTTCTTTCTTCCAACCCGCTTCTATGGATTCGTGACACTGCGTTTGTTAGTCGAGTCTTAATATCTTAAGTTGTTTTTCAACAACTGTTTTTTTTCTATTTGCAGGTGATATTGTAAAACTTGTTTTGGTGGTGTGAGTCTAAGTCGTTCTTCAAAAATAAATTGTTCTTGGTTAGAAGTCGAAGTCGGGATGCGTGGATATCTTCAGTCAGCTTCCAGCGAGGCAGGTCTCAGAGCTCACGGCTCAACTCTGTCTGCGTGTGCGTCTGTCTCTTCAACTGCTACTAACTAACTCTCGTCTACTCGCTGCGACTCTGTTTATATGGACGCCGACCAAAACCGGGTGTGGCCTGTTGTAGTTTCGGTTCCTCGACAATTCTAAATCCACAATAAGGATTTTCTTTGTTTTCGGACAGGAAAATTTATCACTTTCCACTTTTGGAAGTTCATTACTTTCTGCTTAGAGTGGTTCTTAAGTGTGAGATACCAACATGAGAAAGGAAGAATTCTTCCTTTCTCATGTTGGTATCTCACACCAATCCCCCCAGAGGGCGTCAACAGGTTTCCCTTCTTTCCCATAGTGGTATCTCACACCAATCCACTCAGAGGCGTCAATTATCGCTTAAAGGAGGAAAAAAATTATCTTGCTTTTTTCTTTTTTTTTTTTATTACACCACACCCCTACAACTCGTAGTGTGGTCCTTAATCTCTATCTTAACCAAATGTCATCTGGAATTTATCAACGAGATTTTCGCCAGCGTCAAATGGGTGGTTAACTGGACGTCTTCGCAATCTGTATCCAATTATCTATCCCGGTAACAAACTTTTATCATGTCCACATCTGGACAATAAAACAGGTGGTCTATTTCCAAAAACAAATGATATCTCCGAAAGATAGTTAATGGTTTATTCTTTTCTTCTTCTTGGGTGGCCTCAGCTGATGCCATTCTCGGTCAGTACGTGACCTGATTACGATTATCTTCCAGAATTCTGTTTTGTAGGCCACTTGACCAATTTGAAATTTTCATTATTGCCATGGGCAGATTGCTATCCTTTATTCGCCACCTCGTAGCATAAATTAATTCCGACAGATCCGTGGTCTTACGAATTTCCTATCTTCCGCGAAAAAAAAATTTTTTTTCATGTAAATGAAAATAAAATCTCTACCACTTTTCTTTGTTAAAAAAAAAATAACATCGCTCAGTATGTCTTTTCGTGATAGCTTCTTCTCGCCTTAATTATTTCTCGGTTTTAATTTTCACGCGACCGCTAAATAGTGTCACATTCCCTCCGTCTTTTCTACTCACATTTTTCTTGGCAACTGCCCTGACGAATTTTTTACCTGTTGCTCCGACAACGTGTATTTAAGTGTACTATTAGATTGGCATCTAGGCCACACCCGTTTACTGTTGAAATAGCTAAATGCGACTGATACCTCCACTCTGTTTTTCTCGCACCTCCCACATGTGGAACACCTTTCCGTTTACTTGCTTCCCTGATAACTTCAATCGCCAACAAGTTAAAGGCAATGTTAATCTCCATCTCCTGTCTTCTTGTAACCTCATCAAATTTTGTCCTTTCCAGAATCCTCCCTATTTTCAGTCTTTACTCCTTGTCACAACTGCGCACTAGTGGCATTCTCGCCTTTCTTGTGGTGAAATGTTTAAAAAGAGGGAAAGAAAAGTATTATAATATCGATTAAATCCTAAAGAATGATTAAGTAAAGAACAAGTTGAAAACGAATACAGCTTTCCTAGTCTTGTATTTGACACTGGAATAGTTGAGGCGTTGCGTATAAGGCAATTCATACGTTGAATTATGCTTCCGAGAAGAAAAAAGAAGTTAATTATTACAACAGCCAGATCAGAACTAATTGTCAATACAACAGTCAGATCAGAAGGAATATAGTGTATTGCCACCATATCTAGGCTGGAATTGCTTATTTAGCCCATTCCAGCCTTGGCAGAGTTGAAAAACCTTAGAGGTGATAAATCATTTTCCATCTAAAGCGCTTTTTCCATAGGCGAATCGTCACAAGTCACCCGTTACTATATGGCTATTATCAGGGAAAATGTTCAGACGAGCTAAATTCCATGTTTCAAAGATCGTACCTTTACAACTGGGAACCTTCATGCCACGTACACAGGGTCTAATCGTCTTCATCCCCTTCGTATTCCACTGGAGAGAAGCAAATTCCACTCAGACAGCTAATTCTCAAGAAGCGGTATTTTGTGGGACAGATTTCCCATAAGAATGTTTCACAATCATTACAGTCTTAACCTGCCCATGTCTAGGATCAACCATTATTTTACATCCATATCCTGATACACTGCATTTCTTTCCTTCTCTTACGCCCATAAAACAATATTCTCTGCTTTGGTTGGATCTTAGGCCTTATATTGGGGGAAAATTGTAAAGAATAGAAACAATAAAAATTTAACATATACGTTGTCTGAACAACAGATATTTATAATGTTTGATAATGAACTCAGAAAGAAATATGCATTAAAAATCTCGAGAATGAAGTAACGGAATGCGACAATAAAGGGTGACCATTTAAGCATAAGAAGATAAAATGATCGTCAGCAAGAGACACAACCCAAACTGTGAGCGTTGAATTCTAGGGATTATAATCAAGCAATACATATGTCCTCTCGCGGACATCTGTCCACAGCATTAAGGCTAACATCCTTCAACCTCGCCTCCGCTGGGTAGTTCTCGTGTCCAAAATGTGTCCCACTCGACTCCAACATATCATCTTGTTTTGAGAACTCACCAACGGCAAGACGCTAAGCGGAGGCCAAAAACAATGGACTCTGAGTTCGGTAACCATTGCTTAAAATCACCTTTCAGATATCCGAGCGGCTACCGAGACTTTCGCGTCCAATCCTCAACATGAAGGAAATCTGAGACGTGCTGTCAAGAGGGACAGACTTGCCAAGCCGCGTCCACTAGCCAAACCCACTGCTAGTCCAGGTCACGGCTCTTCATGAGTTGGCTGGGCATTCAAAAGCATTTCTGCCATTGCCACCAGAGGAGAGAAATGGAATAAGATGAAGATCCCGATGTTTGGAAGAGAGCGGGTGCCAACGACTCTACAATACACTCGTATCTGACGTCAGAAAGTGTAACTCATGAATCCAAAGCCATAGAGGAATAAGAAAAATGTCTTCCAGAAAATAACCAAAGTCATAAAAAGATAGGAAAACAGAAACAAGGACAAAATGATGAAAACATATCAGATACTTATTCTCCTTGAAGGCAATGAATTTTGTTTATTTTACCAAAAATAAACAAAATCCAAAACGAAGAAAAAATGTACAGAAGCGACGGAAAAAGAGTTCTCTTTGAGGGGTTCCCAGTATGCAGAAGAATACTGTTAATACCACAGACAGAACATATGAGCAAAAAGCAATTTCCAGAAATGTTTCTTTCTTGGGGACCTAGAAAGAAACATATGTTAAATAAGAGGCGCTTGAAGTTTCTATGACATAGGACGGACGGTTTGTAAAATTTAATATTCACATCTATGACATAGAGACCAAATGAATTTGGTTGAAGGAATATAAAAGATTAGACAGGGACGTATAGTAAAGCGCCAACGTTGCTTATGGCTACAATGATTGAAAGTACATGATGATGATAATGCAACTAAAGAGATGATCTGTGAAGGTACTGGATGATTAAAGTTGGGTTCAAGATCTAGCGTTCTTCGTAGATATTGCAGAATTACCCGAATCCAAACGTTAAAAGACGCAGTTAATTGGCGAAATATTTATAGAATTTGATTCGTGTCTTTTGAATGTCCGGTCATTTTTAAAGGTTAGTGACTAGGAAAGTGATGTCAGTGCGGATTAGTTACGTTTATTTTTGCAAATTGACATATTAGAAATGCATGAAACCTTATCTTCTGTAACGGTCTAATATCAAGGCGTAGTAGGCTGTCCTTTGCACTAGATATCAACCACTCTCAGAAAATTAAATTAAATTATTCCAGAGACATTGCTGTAGCAATGTCTGTAAATATTTGGCGCGCTTACAACCCCAAAGATATCGGGGCTTTGACCATATTCGTTATTTTACGATGAAATTTCACATTTTTGCACGTCGCCTAACAGATGTTCTTATTACTAATTTCTAAATTGAAAATTCTTGAAAGAATCAGATGTGAGTTATAACGATACCAATAAGAATAATCTGTGAAGAAATATTTTCTAATTAATGAATGTGTTCCAAGAAAGATTTTTCAGAATTAAAAACTTTTTTCTACTTTTCAGTTCTCATTTTCTTGTAGAGCTCATATGTTACAGAATCCATTTCAGTAAGAATTAATTACACTCTGTGTTGGCAAATAGGTTTTCAAATATCGATGTTGGCACAGTTTATCAATATCTTCAGCCTAATTATCCCAGGATTAAATATTTGGTCTCAAAGATTATATCAATAATCGGAAGCTCATCTTCCTGTGAAGAACTACTTTTATCGATAAACTTGGACACGTCTCGAATTTGGCCTGAGGTTTCTGATTTTCATTTCTGTTCCAATACTGAAGATGGTTATA